GAGGAGAGGTAAGAGTAGAAGACATTGAGAAAATGGTGGAGGTGTTATTTTGGTTTTAAAAACCGTATCACTTTGCGCGACAAAACAATATATTGGTCGCGCAAAGTCTCGAATTTTTTTATTTAAAAAAATTCCAATTTTTGGTGCGTGCCCAAATTTTTAGGGTTTTGCGCGACGAAATTTTGGTCGCTCAGAGTTTTGCGCGACCACAATATTCCCGCTTCCCATTTTTGGTACCCGCCCAAATTTTTCGGGTATACTTTGCGCGACGAACTATATATTGGTCCCGCAAAGTCGTAAATTTCTTTTTTAAAATTCCCATTTTTGGTACCCGCCCAAATTTTTAGAGTATACTTTGCGCGATGAACTACTATATATTGGTCGCACAAAGTTGGAAAAAAAAAAATTTGAATTTTTTTTGCATTTTTGGTACCCGCCCAAATTTTTCAGGTATACTTTGTGAATATGTACAATACCTGATATTTTGAGTTGATTAGGGTCATTCAATCCATTCTTTTTCTTGTAAAATGTGTTATGCAATTTCGAAGTTGCCTTTTCTTATGATATAATATCGTATTTGTTGTAATTCTATGTCATGTGCTCACAATACTGATTTTTGGGTTTTATCATCTTCATTCATTCATTCATTGTCATGTCCTCACAATTATTATTTTTATTGCTTTTGTTGTATTTATCAATGAATCTACAATTTGCAGACAAGTGAAAGTAGGTATTGTTTAAAGGTGGGTGAGCATATTACACAACTATGCCCTTATAAGGATCATGTGCCAATGAACACAACTCTTGACAAGGGTTGGGTGGTTGTTTGGAATGTCTGCGGCTTCCACTTTTTCCAATTCCCAACTAGCTTACTCTTTTTTCCTTTTGTTCATCACTTTCTCACCTAAAAAATCTCTCAATTACTCCAAACATTTCTGCTTATTCGTCTTTTTTCATTTTGCTCAAAATTGTTGTTCTAAAGTATGGCTCAAAAATAAATTTTTGTGTTGTTTTTCTTATGCTTTGATTTTTATCACAAATAAAATAATAACAAACTAAATTAATAAATTTTGAGTTTTAGCCCCTAGCCCCTCACCACCACTAAAACCACAAAATTTGAGAGGCAAGATTTTGTGAATAGTACCATTTTGAGGGGCTAAAACAGCACTAGCCCCTTGCCCCTTGCCCCTTGCCCTTGCATTAGAGATGCATATTTATAGACGTCATGTTGTTCTTTCATTGGTAATAGTTTTAATGAGAAAACACTTTTGAAACATGTATTGTCAATTGTATATTATATATAGTAGTTGTAAATATAGATCAGAATGCAATTGCTTGTGTTTCATATGTATGACTGGATGTGAAATGTTTTTATCTGTAGGAACACAACAAGCGCCCTGCCAATCCTGTTCATTAAACTGCTTATGTGAGGCGTGCTTAGAAATTTTACATAGGAAAATTTGTGACTAATTTTAAGCATTTTGCACAGGCAGCATGTAATATTGTGGTACTGTATATGAAATTCAACTTTACACCTATGGCAGAACCATGTACCATATCATCAGCTGAGATGTCTCTCCAGAAATGAGCCATGAGTCTTTCTCAGAACGCTGAAAGTTCTGTCATCCTGAGTTTATAAACAGAAAATGTGGTTTTGAGACATGTTTGCACAAATATATATACATGGAGATATTAGTACAAGCTTCTTTTTTTTATTTTCAAGGAAGAGAGAGAGAGAGGGGTAGTACCTGCTTCTTCTTTTTCAAGGACTCTTTCAGTTTAGCAATTTTATCAGTACAAGCTTTCTCATGCTCAGATATCAGACTCCTTTCTTTCTTTCCTGACACGACATCAACCCATCAGAAAATTTTGGCGTATTCGATTTCACAATAAGGAGGAGTAAAGGAGTTTTGTTGCTTACTCAGATGTTCATATCGTGTGCAGAGCCTTTCCTTCTCTTCTTCATACTTGGAAATGATGCCTGTCAAATAGAACAACAATGCTTAAAAGAGTCGATGGGTTATGTTAGCTATTAAATTACAGATGAGGTAGGTGGTAAACTGTGACCGCAGCCAAATATGGGGCATCTATTATTCCAGACCTTAACTCAAGCATACACCACAATTATTGGCATTGCTAAAACATACTAAACAATTCGACAACCAATATGTAACGTCAAAAGTACACAAGGAAGGACATATCAATATTTCTCTGAATCCATTAATTTTTTCTTGCAAAATTAACAAATTTGTTTTCTCCCAGCTGAAATATGAGAACTGAGTTATTGATACTACACCCATAACGCATCAATTTAGCATCCTGTATATGCAAACTTGCATATACTGCATAAACCAGATACAAGCGTATATCATGTATTATAGTAGCCTAAACCTGCCAGCCCTTAAGTCAAGCATACAAAAAATTTGCAAATAGTGAGTATAGCATTTTACCCCTTAGGGGGTGTTAGGGTAAATAACTCTTTAATAAATAGAAGAAACATAATATAGTGTGCAACATAACGTTTCTTTGCTTTTCCGAAAGGAAACGGGTACTGCATTACATTTCAGATGACCTAAGCATAATACAAGACTTGGTTTAAGATTTTAAAGATTTTGAGACTACCTTACCATCATCACTACGAGATACAAGCCTTTTGCGCTCTGTGCATGAAAAATCAAACACTCCAAGCACGTTTTTCATGTTCTTCATATTCCATGAATGGCTGGAGCTGTTCCATTGATAAACATGAATGGTACGTATTTGCTTTCCTTGCGATCGACAACTGAAAATTTATCTTTACCAAGAGAATCAATTTTCTGTCATTGATTTTATTTATTATGTGGTGGATTCTTTAATTGACTAGCTAACAGGTTACTATTTGATTGATACTTTACTTGACTAGCTACCAGGGAACTGTTAGATTGGATTGGAGTTGAGTCCAAGCCAATCTTTATGATTCCCACCACTCGAGGTGAGACTTGTAAGACACAATATGTGGCTCACCATACAACGGCTAGGACTCTTGTCCATTTCAATTGAAGTCCAGTCTAGTCCAGTGAGACTACTAGAAGATACACCCTAGAGAAGACAATAATCCAATATTTTTAAGACCAATAGCAAAGAATCTGAAAAGACTTTCTCGCACTGGAATAATCTTTGTATATATGCTTTGTGGAGTTCATCACAAGTCAAGATGCTTACATACACCGGCCACTAAAATATCAATAAACATTACTTGATAGACATGGATCCTTCCTTGTATAAGGCAGCAAGATCAGGTGATGTTGGTTTCTTGGGAAAAAATAAAGATGCTGACGTACCAGATGATCTTCTCCATCAGAAAACGCCGATGGACAATAATATACTTCACATTGCCGCTGAGTTCAAGCACATGGATTTCTTCAAACAAATCCCACCACAATCGCCATTGTTTTGGACCACCAACAACAAGGGTGAAACTCCCCTCCACGTTGCTGCTAGAGTTGGTTGTGATGAAGGAGTTGAGTTCCCCATCAACCATGCGAAAAAACTACGCGTTGATGATGAGGAGAGCGAACCCACTACTTATCCAATGACA